GCAAGCTAACTAAAAACTTTATGCTTAAGAACAAAAATGCGAAGCTAACCAGGAGAACTCAGAAAAAGAAGGGCCATATGGGGCACGGGGCTTCCCACCGTTAACATGTACTGCAAAGCCTGTGATTAGGAGTCTGGTGTTGGCACGTGAATAAACAGATAGACCAATGAGACCCAAAGAATATCCAGAAATAGATCCAACTGCATCTGGAAAGTTATTATATGAGACAGGCGGCTTCAAAAATCTGTGTGGAGAGATTTTTTTTTTCTTTTAATAAGTGGTGTTAGGATAATTGGATAGCCATATGGAAAAAGTCAAGCCTGGAGCTCACCCCACACACTGGGGTAAAATCCAAAATGGATCAGACATTTAAATATAAAAACTGGAACTCTGTAAGTACTAGAGGGAAATATGGGTGAAAGCTATATAATGTCAGTATGGAAAAAGCTTTCTTAACCAGAAGCAATAAGGGCAAAGACTATCATATTTGAGCATATTAAAATAAACCCTTTTGCATGACAAAATCACCCTAAGTAAAATAAAAAGACAAATGACACTGGTGGAAACTGGGGCTCCTGTCTCAGGCTGAGCCTGTATCATCTCTGGGTCACTGGACAGTTGGATTCACCTTCTAGACAGGAAGCCACAGAAGTGGAATAGATGAGCACATGGGCCCTGGGGTCCAATTACCTCTATTTGAATCTGACTCCACCACTTAGCTATGTGACCTTGGGCAAATTGTTTAAAATCTCTGGACCCTCAGTTTTCTTGTCTATAATAAAGGGGTAATACTGGTACCCAGTCCAGGGGTCATGAGGAGGAATAAATGAGTTTCAGTGTATGAAATACTTAGTATGGCTAGAACATTCTAGAACCTCAATTAATATTAACCTCTCACTTCCTGAGGCCCACAGCTTCTTACAAAGCCAAAGCCCAGGCAGCAGAGCTGGCTGCAGGGCTCTCCCCAGACTTCCCTTGCAAGCTGAGAAGCCCACCCCATCCCCCAGTCTGGTCCCAAGCCCCCATGTCACAAAGACCTTCTGTGTTCCTTATTGACCCTCGGTAAACAAACTCTTGGCTGCCTCTGCCATCAGAGCTGGACCTTTCTGACATTTTGACAGGCAATTCTTGCCATTGTATATTGGTGTTTTCTTTCTCTTTTCAATTATTCCATCTTGCCACATGTTTCTCTATTTTGTTAGGTTTTTTTTTTCTTAATGAGTCATTTGTGGGTTTTGTAGACTCAAGTATTTTTTATTTCTGTTTCATTTCTGTCCATCATTTCATCATTTTCTTCTACTTTCTTTGGGGTTTCTCTGCTTTATTCTTCTCCTCTCTTAAATTGGACTCCAAATCATTTATTGTCAGTCTTTCTCTTCTCATGTTTGCATTTAAGACCGTATGTAACTCTCAAACCATTGCTTGAGCTGCTATACAAACCACTGCACGTGTTGCTGGATTGTGGCCATCACCGCCGCTCACTGGTAGTTGACACCCTCTTGCCCAAGGGGGAATTGCATTTCTTCACTCCCTTCAAGTCAGGCCTGGCTAGGTAGAAATGTGAGTGTGAGTGATGGGTGTTACTCTCAGGTAGAAGCATTAATTGCTGATTCAAGATTCTCCAGGGCTCTTCCTCCCCTGGTCCTCCTCAAGCCATGGTGTGGTGACAACCCAGATGCGTGAGGCTCCATCATCCTCTGTCTCTGAGCGAAGAGGATGTAAAGCAGAATGTCCTCCTGGCCGAAGACAGACAGGTCACAGAAGGGAGACTCAAACCTTCGGTGTGTGAGCCACTAAGACTTGGGGGATGTTTGTTATCTCAGCATAAACTAGCATCTCCTAGTTGCTACATTCGGTGTTTTTGTTATTGTTCAGTTTTAAGTGTTTTATAACTTCCATCATAATTTCTTCTTTGATGTATGAGTTATCTACTAATATTCTTTATTTCCAAGCATATGAAAGCTTTCGGTCTCTCATTGTTTACATATGGCCAGAAGATATAATTTGCCTATTACTGGATGATTTGGCACATGCTGCCATTCATTCTATGACTTAATCTGATCAGTTTTGGTAAATAGTAATCACATCCTTGGAAAAATAAGTATTCTCTAAATGGTAGGTATGGATTCTGTGTTTGCTGTTAGCTCAGTCTGATTCATTGTGTGGTTCAACTTCCTCTAACCTGATACTCTTTTGCTTGCTTCATCTATCAGTTGCTGAGAGAAACATGTTAAAGTCTGCTGTGATTGTAGACCTGTCAATTCTCCTTTATACTTCAGGCAAAGCATGCTTACCATCTGCTGTGTGGTTGTCTGGTCTCCCATCTCAGAGCTCTGGGGAAAAACAACTATGGGAATCACATGGGTCTCACCCCCCTAGCAGTTCAAGTCTGCGAGGGGACACTATGTTGGGTCACGGACCTTCTATGAGTAGTTACAAAACTTAGGTGCCCTCTTCTTAAATTTGTGTCTATAATTTCAGGGGGTCCTCTTTCCCTGAAAGCTCTTCCATCATCAAATGGAAGTTTGGTGACCATCACTTTTGAACCAAAAGTGCAAATTTGTAGTCTGATAGATTATACGAGAAACAGAGAAGAAGGGTATGCCTTAGATCTGGGCCACGTGGTCACTGCATTGAGCTGGGAAGGTAGATGCATGGACAGAAAGCTCACTCTCTGTCCAGTCCAGACTCTGCCTCCAACCTCAGCCATCTCTTGGGGACTTCCTAGTCACACAGGTAGTGCCGGTGTGTATTTGAGCAGTGCCAGTCCTGAGAGAGGGAAGAAGAACATGGACCCCTGCTTGAGGACAGGGACCGGCCAAAAATAGGGAAACTTTCCTGAGAACACTGCTTGAGGACACTGGTGGTGGTCATGGGTTGCTGGGGGCCTGTTGTCATTGTCACGAGGAGGACAATAACCACCATAAAGAAAATGGAGAGGAAGGAGGTGAAGGTAATGGAGGAAGAGCAGGGACCTGAGCAGGCAGTGGACATGTGTGGATGAGAATATTCTGGAGCCAGATTATGCAGGGGGCCTTAAATGTTGCTCTGAGAAAGTTACATTTAATCCTGAAGAAATGGTCTTCCACGAGAAGTGTTTGAAGAGCAGACTCACAGACATAAAGCAGTAGATAGTTAATTTGGCAGCACCATATAGTCCACGTGCAATATGAGTGTAAAATGGACATAGAACATAAGACTGTGGAGAACAACTAAGCAGGACTTGGTACCTCAGTGATTTGAGGGGCTGGAGATGCATGGTTCAGTCCAAACTGACAGCACACAGGTGCCTGTCACGGGACCATGTATTGGAATTACCAGATCACAGCTACCTTTGGGCTTTAGGCCCCACACACAACAGCTTACTGAGCAACCTATTTCTGAAATTGCACATGGAACACATTATTACTCATATTTTATAGAAGAGATGGCTGCAGTAATAAGAATTTAGCATCAATTTCCTGCATCCAGCAGCTCATTATAATACGGTACCTAGGAGACCAGGATCTGGGTGTGAAGATCAGACTTGCAAGTGCTTGCTGTGTGACCTTGAGCAGCATACTCAACCTCTCTAAGCCTCCACCTATAAAGATCACATTGAAATAAAATGTGCAAACACTCAGCAAGCACCAGGTACACAGCAAGCATCCAGAACTATTAGCTGTTGTTGTTACTATTATTGTCAGTATCAATATTATTCATGCTGAAAGGACAGGACACGGCCAAGGTCAGAATTTGGGCTCTGTCACTTATTAATGACGTGTCCTTCAGAAGTACTTGGTCTCTGAGTTAATCCCACCCCACCTCATAGTTATGATGATATAATTCAGGGATCACTGAATAGTAGGGGCTATATTTTTAATCACTGGAGATGAAGTCATGAAGATAAATCTAGTTTGACATCTAAAGCCTGATTTCCCTGTAGCCCGAATATGTGAGCATGTCCACCCCAGGATGCAATTGGAATCAGATCTTTCAAACTTCCCTGTTTGGTCTGCACTGGGAAGAAAATGGATACTTCTTAAACAGAGGCAGGACTCAGGATTTTGCTGGATGCCAAATTTCCTCTACCAGGGTTTACTTCTGTTTAAGCTGATGCAGATTCCAGACTTTAAATAGAAATGATAAATTATTGACTATCACAGTGATTGATTCTCGGACTGTCTGCTCACCACTAAATTGCTCCGATTGCTTCCCTAGTGAAACTTCCATAAGTCATTAGCGTGAGCCCACACCAACATCCGTCACGTTAACGATGCGGCTGCAATCACTCCTTGACACTAATTACCTTTTTTGACTAATTTTGAATGCGAAATTTTGCTAATGACTGAGACCCACAGTAAAAGGCCCCATTTTCTCCAAGCGTTCCATAATCTATGGCACCTTCATGCCCACACTGCAGTTATTAACATTGCACTCGATCCTGCCTCCTCACTGGGTTGGCAGCCTTTAAATAGAGAACTCTTTATTCCGGGCTCCTTGGCATAAACATAATTTTATCTAGAGAGTTCCCTGAAAGTAAGTTTCTGGAGGAGCAGAGTCTGCATGGATAGGTTTCTAACTTGTAGAGACAATCATGAAAAATGTTTAAGCCATGGCTTTTCTACGGCAAGGGGGAGAGAGGGAGATTTAGGCTTGATATATGCCATCACAGTGCTGGGCTGTTTTATACACAGTATTGTAAGTCATCCTCTCAGCACCCCTGTGAGATAGCTGCTATAAACCCACTTTACAGATGAAAGAACTGGAGGCTAGTGATTTTAAGTGAACTGCCCAATGTCACACAGCTGGTGAATAGCAGATAGAAGACTTTGGAACTGAGGTAGGCAACCTCAACATTACCTCTCAGAAACCCCCACCTCCTGTTGTGACTCCTGCCCGTGAGTGTGAGTGGGACCTAGGGACACTCTGCCATGAATAGAATACGACAAACTCAAGGGGAGGTCATTTCAGAGATTCAGGTACCAAAAGACTGTGGCTTCCCCTTTCTCACTCTGAAGGAAGCCAACTGCCATGCTGTGAGCTGCCCTGTGGAGAGCACCACATGGCGAGGCACTGAGGGTGGCCCCTGGCCGACCACCTTGAGGAACTGAATCCTGCCAATGACCTTGGGAGTGACCTTGGAAGAACACCCGCCCACAGGGGAGCCTTCAGATGAGACCAGCCCTGGGTTTCCAGGCTGTCTGGAAAGCCGTGCCCAGATTTCCAATCCACAGAAACTTAAGAGGTAATAAATGTGTGTGATTTTATGCCTCAGGGTTTGGAGATGCAGCAATAGATAATGAATACAAGGATCAAACATAGATTGGAATAATACCAAAGCCCTTGATTGTTTGCTTCTGGGTGTGTGTGTTTTTAATCACAGAAGTAACATTATGTTAATATTAATACACTCTTCTGTATTAGTTAATTCTTTGTTCTTTGAATCAAATCAAAAAACATATAAAATTAAAACCAAAAGCTCCTCTTCCCTCTTCCTCCCACCTTCATTATCTACTTCCTCCCAAGAGGAACCACTGTTTATAGCGTTCTGTATCCCTTCTGAGCTTTTGTATTGATTTATATACATACACATAATTTTATTAAATCATAAACAGGGGCTCCTCCCTATACATACACTCCTGTGACTGGCTTTTTCAACTTATAGTACATCCTAGACTTCTCTCCATGTTGACACATAGGAAGAGCTCTCCCCATTCTCTTCAGTGACTTCAGGACCTTGAGGGAGATGGACGCTTGTTTCCAACACAACTGTGATGAGTTCTTTCACCCGTGATTCTTCGTGCATGTGCACAAGACTTTCAATGAGATTCCTAGAAATGGAATCGCTACATCATAAGGCGTACAGTTTTTAAAGCTTGGCCCATGTCCTTCCCAGTGCATCAGGTTGCATGCTCGAACACACCAAGCACAGGCACTTACCATGCCTCCTCAGACAGCTGGCATCAGCAGCCGCTACGTCTCAGGACACCTACGGAGGGCCCCAAGTTGAGAACCCCAGCCCAGAAGACCATAAAACTCACAGGCTCAGCCCCCTTCTCTCTTTACAGAGCTTGGATCATTTTCTTCATTGTCTTTCCTCTTGACTTTTTTTTTAGTAGAAAACACTTAAAGGAGGAGGGAGCAGACACCCATGTCAGATGGCCAGAATCCAAGCCCAGCTATTTTCAAACCTGCTATAGAGTCCTGGCCAAGTCACTGGTCCTAACTGGTCTCAGTTTACCATTCATTAGGTGCACATACACACTACCGGTTCTGTTTCTCTGGAGACCCTAAGACAAGCCCTCATTTTACAGGAGGAGAAACTGACATCTGGAGAGGGAGATAACAGAACCCAGCAGTCCTGCCTCTCTGGCCAGCACCAGTTCGTCTCACCTGCCTGGCCATTTATTCCAGAGTGAACTCAGAATGACAGGAGTTGTGGTCCCTGGTCCAACACTTATGATGTGGCCCTAGGTAAGTGACTTACCTGCTTGATGCCTGAACTTCCTCATCTTCGGTGTGAGGATGAAAATCGGTTGTTCTTGTGGAGTTGTAGCAAGGATTAATACATGAGACTCATCCATGGAAAGACGTCAGCACAATGCCTGACACATGGAGGACACGCAAATAAATATCAGGTGGTATTTAAGGATTGCTATACAATGCCACAGAGAACTTCGAAAATACGACCAGGAACTATGCTTTCAATTTATAAGGCTTTGTAACCCACAAACATAGCCAGTCTCCTCCCCCAACAAAAGCCATACAATTTTCTGAAAGTTTCAAGATTGACAATAACCCTCGGTCAAAGCATCAGGCAAGTCAGCCGTCAAAACCCAGTCATTCCATCTCTTTCACCTGTGTTAATGGCCTGGCGCCTGTTCATGTGATTTGTTAGCAAGACCCATAAAGCCGGGGAAGCTGAGCAGAAAGATCTATTTAATTCCCACTTTCCAAGGGATTGTTATTCAACTCAACCCCCTTCAGTCCAAGAGTAAATCACAGGCTGCCGTAATGAACTTCAGTTCATGGGAGACACACAGATAAGCAGCTGCTCCCCAGCCCACCCCAGCCCAGCCTCAGCTCTGTCCCGAGGTCACCCACACCTGGGGACTAGCAGTTTGATGAGCCTTGGAGGTTGTTCCTGGTAACAGTTCGGCCCTCACCCCTGGCTCCCAAACATCTTGAGATCTGCCTCTGATATTCGATATTCGGGAGGATGACCCCCATTTTGAGGTTCATGTTCACTTGCTGCTGAGACCAGTTGGAGGTGAGCTGGGGCTATGCCATAAAGCCTGTTTTGACTGTGAAATTAATAAATTTCCTTCCTCGACCTCCTGTGTGCATAATCTACCCTGGCTGGTAAACAATCAGGAGCCCAAAGGAAATGCTTATTGCAGTAAATACCCAGGGTGTTATCATGAATTCCACATTCTGTCTGAATGAAATGTTTTGAAAAATACACTTAAAAACAAAACCAGGCAGGCAGAAAAGGACTATATCTCTCCGTTGAAGTCAGGAGGCTGAGCTGAAGCTCTCAGGGCCTCAGCAGTGAAACCATCCATCAAAGCAGGCCACGCACGAACATAAAGACTGACCCAGAGCTTTGACTTTAGGACTGAGGGCAATGCAGCCTTACTCTGACCAAACACACTCTCCGGTTCTTCGGTACCTGGTGGGCATAGCCAAGTTTCTCCAGGCAGCACAAAACCGCCCACCTGAAGGAAGCCCACGAAGGAGATGAGGGGCTCCGAATGGCCCCCACCCTGGTGGCTTCAGTGGAAGCTTTGACTGAGATGGGGAAGACAAGGGCAACCGCAGTCAGGCCCATAGAAGTCAAGACAGCTGGAAGGAAACTTATTTATTAAGTCCCAGTTTACACTACAAGATATTAATCCTTCCCTTTTTCAAATTCATCCCTTAGCACACATAGCTAATAAGGATAAAGGGTTCCCCCCCTTGGGGGCTTAATCTGCGTCAGGCACTTGGGTGAGCATCTGACACACATTAAGACCCCCGGCAGACCCTGCGGATTTGCTCCCTAAAAGACATCCACAGCTGCCTTCCTCCGGGCCATCCTCTGCTGGCAAGTCTAGAGAACTAAAATAGTCCATTCCCAGATGCTTTGAAAGGTAGGGGTGATCATTCACCACGATTCTAGCCAACATGGTGTAGACCAAAGGCCACAGGGCAGACCCCCCCTTCAGAACACAGAACCCCATATTCTTCTTTCTACCTAGAACACAAACCAGAGGCTGGAGGTTAAGCAGTCATTTTGAGACCATGAGGCAACACTCCCAAGGATGGAGCCAATACACTAAGAACGGGAAAAGAACAAAAAGAGCGTGGGCCACTGCTGGGAGTCACTGCAGTATCCCTGGGCCGTCTACTCCAGGCTCCTGGTGCGCGGGATTCTTTTTTAAATCCTTCTTCATCTATGCTAGTGTTATATGAGTTTTCTGTTACCCCAGTGAAAAGCATTTCTAGCCAACAGATCCCCATTCTCCAAGTGAGGAAACTGAGGCTCAGAGAGATGAGGCAACCCACTGAAGTCCCAATAAGAATAAGCAGTGGAGCTTGGACTCACTGCGATTCAATGATTCTTGTCCCTCAGTCATCCCCACCACAGCCTACTGCCTCAGCAAGGAGTCACTTGCACAAATTTCTGCAAGCATTTTTCATTGTCACACTTCTTGAATGCATTACTTCAGTAACAAGGCTCAAAATAATCCAGGTGTGTAATGGACAGCTACAATTCAGATCATGATACTATTTATCCTGATAATTAGCTAACATTTATTGAATGCTCACACATTGTACCCACTTATCTCATTTAACCTGGTGACAGCCCCCAGAGGTGGCTACTGGCTACTGTTAAAATCATTATTTTCACATAAGGAAATCGAGTGGGCAAGTGAACTGCCCAGGATTTCATGGCCAGGGAATGGCTGAGCCGGGTTTCCAGGCCTGGGCCCTGCAGGTGTGGGTGCAGGAGGGGCGGCCCCATGCCTCAGTAACGAAGCCCTTTTGACCGTCCTGATCAGAAACACCTCCATCCACAGGATGACGGAGTTCTGCCAGGTACCACGTCTGTCACCCTGTCACAGGGAAGGGAGCAGGGGGCTTGAAGGTGCTTCCTTGGGCCCTGGCTAAGCTCTTTTCCTGTGGCCAGGGGACTGGCTTCCTGCTTGCCCTTAATCTGGTATCCAGCTTAAGAGTCAGCCTGCCCGCAAGGCTGATCTCCACAAGCTGGGAATCTCAGTCTGACACAGAGAAGCAAGCAACTCCTTTTCTTTCTCCCTCTGTCTCCCTCTCCCTCCCCCATTATGTTCTTAATATATTATAGCTTAAAAATAAATGCATAGGACAAATAAAGCCATGCGGTGTACAGCCAGGAGGATACCACCATGGAGACCAGCTCCTCCTCAGCAGGTGGCAGTGACCTGAACAAGTCACTCCCTCTGTCACTTTCCTCAACTGGAAGCTTCTCTCTGTGAAACAAAAAATGAATCTGTCGAAAAGCCAACATAGAGAAGTTTGAAGAAAGCCAAAGAGGAAAAGCAGGTGGAGAAAGACACTGAGGTTCTGTGCCCACAGAGGCTCCTGGGTTTCAGAAGGACAGGTGGGGTCAGTGTCACTTGTCCAGGGGGAGGCGGCCAGAGCCCACGGGCATCACCACCCACTTCCCACTGATGGGTGTGACTTCAGTCCGAGGCGGGGACGTGCAGCGCCAGGGCCCAGGCTGCCCAGGCCCACACACTGGTGCCCGCTGTCGTGCTCTCTGCCTCTGTTGCCCCATCTGGGAAAAAAGGACAATGAGCCCCACACCATGTGTATCAAGTAAGTACAGGAAATGCACATGAGAGGTGCAGGGACCGGGCACTTTCCTCAGATGTTGGTCATTATTTCTGCTCATTTTGTTGAGGATCTTTGAGGCACAGACACTGGCACAACCTTACGGGGAGAGAAAATCAGGGTGCTCTTGATGGTGACAAGAGGGAGAAGGGAGAAATTGCCACCCTGGATTGAAAAGATGGAAACTGGGGTTAAGTGAGTTGCCCAAAGTCACCAGCTGATAAATAATACTACTGCAACTCAGACAGGTCACGTGACTTGGGTGTCCTGTCCTTCATGGTCTCCATGGACAGAGCTGAGGATCAGGGCCCAGGGCTCCCAGTCTTCTGTGAGAGGGCTCCCGGGTCCCAGGGGCTTAGCTCAGGACTCAAGGAAGGAGGATGGACATTCCCAGGACACCCACACATTATTCCTCTGCCCTTCACTGGCCTCTGTGCTGCTTCACTGCAGAGGAGCAAACCCCCCAACTCCCTGGTATTTTTTGGTGACCTAGGAAATACATGTGGGTTACACAACCCTTACTATCCCCACAGCCTATTCTCTATAATGTCATACCTGTCCTTTTTGGTTCATAGGGACATTTCTGACACAACATTCCAACCCTGCTGCCTGAGCTGATCCTGCATCAAGTCGGGGCTGATCCAGGAGAGGCAGATTGGAACAGTATGGAGTGACAGCCTTGGACAGCAGCTTGTCCCTGCCCCAGCTGTATGTCTGCCACCACCCTCCACCTGCATGGCCCTGGGGGCTAGGGACTCTACTGGGGTTGGCGTTGGGGCCACGCCCTGTGGCCTTGGCCCAGGGTCTCCTCTGGGCGGGGCCGGTCTGCTCAAGGCAGTGGGGGCTTGGTGATGCGGCCCCTGGATAACATATATATATCATGCTTGCCCTAGCTGGGCAGCTCAGTGCGTGCTTGGCCTGAGAAGGAGTTAGTGGCAAAGGAGACCCTCTCCCTAGCTTCAGACCCTTTCCTCGGATCGTTTGGCGCACACCACAACCCATTTTTCCATGTGGACAGTCTCCTCCTTCCTAAGGTCCGTGCCCCACCTTCTTTGCCCGCCGGTCTTTCCCATCCCCGGGACGCTGCCCCCTCCCCTCCTGCCAGGGAGCACCCTGCACCTGCCCACTGCCCTGGTAACAGGCTGTTCCACCGGGATCCTGTGCAGCTGGCTTTTCCCACCTTTCCCAGCAGAGTTCCCACTTCCCCGGGGAGCGGTCCTGGGCCTCTGGACCACCTAGGCTGGCAGCAGACAGCTGGAGAGAGACCACCCAGATGAGCTCCTCCTCTGCAAAACACACGGGCACCACTACCAGCCCGCCTCGAGGTGTCCTGCCTCTGCAAAACCGCCATCCAGAGGCAGCAGTGCCCTCTGACCCAACCCCGTGCTGCCCCCAGCTGCCAGGGAGGTCGAGGTCAGCAGAGTACGGGCTGGGTGAAGGTCATCGGCGGAGCACTGCAGACCCACCAGGGCCTGGGAAGAGGATGCAGGGCACGGAGACTTCTGACACCCCAAGGAGCCCCTCACTGGCTCCCACCCACGGGAGGCCCCGCAAAAGGAAAACACCCATGCCTCTGGCGCTGCCATCGCCATGGCCACTACGAGCACTGTAGGATCACAGCGAGCTGCCCCTGCCTCCAAAATGTGCCCGCCTAGCCACTGCTGAAGACCTGGGCACCGGGGAGGACAGCACTGACTCTGACTGTCGGAGAAACACCACCCAGAAGGTCATGGCCAACGGCAGGGGCCCTCAACCAGCCCCTTCCTTCTCTCCACATGCCCCGGAGGCTGCAGGCTCCCTGACCTCGACCAGTCACAACTTACAGATCCCTGCTCCCAACGCCAACGTGGATGGCCTGTCTAACAGGCCCCTCATCCCACCAGTCCCACACGAGGCCATGGGCAGCACAACCGCTGGCCTGAAGGCTGACTCTGACTCCGAAGACGAACCACACGATGCCATGGGAGGCACAATGGCCTCGGCCCCACCCCCAACTTGGACTACGACCGAATGGACATGCCACCGCCCTCGCGGACAGCACCTACAATTCTCCCCTGGCCACAGACAAGGCTGTGGGCAGCACAACCGCCAACCTGAAGGCTGACTCCGACTCCGATCCAATGGACACAATGCCCCCCTCTCTGGCCGCCATCTCCTGGTCCCCCACCCCCAGGCCCCAGACAAAGCCGTGGGCAGTACAACCGCTGGCCTGAAGGCTGACTCCGACTCCGAACCAATGGACACAACACCACCCTCGGTGGCCGTCATCTCCCGGTCCCCTCCAACCCCACATGATACTGTGGGCAGCACAACCGCCAGCCTCCCACCCACCTCAGACTCCCACCGCATGGGCAGTCATTATCCGGTCTCCCCTGGCCCCACACGATGCCGTGGGAGGCACAGACAATGGCCTCGGCCCTACCCCTAACTCAGACTCCGACCTGATGTACATGCCACCACCCTCACCAACGGCACCTACAGGTCTCTCCCAGCTCCAGACAAGGCCTATGTCCATTTATAGGGGCTTCACATCCTCCTATCCATTTAACACAATCTTTCTCGGTATATGTGTGTATATTATATATTCACACTAAACGCTGTTCTTGCTAATATGCCTCTGCTCTGTTTACTCTTTGACTCGGTGACATACATGAGTGATAATGTTCTGAGCCACACTTAACTATGCAACATGTTCCACGCCCCAGTGACTGGGATGTGGAAGTAGCCGCGTTTTATGACTGTGCGTGCTCACCGCGAGGTCTGCGTGCTGAGCTTTTAATGGATGACAACCCAGGGGAGGCAAGCCCAGAGGAAGGAGACTGGGTCGGCTTACGTGGCCCCTTCCCTCTCCTCTCCCACTGCCCTGAGCTCACTGGAGGCAAGGGAATCCCTGCTGTGACGCAGGAAACCACTCCTATCATTTCGGTTTTTAAACATGTTTAATTCTGTATGTGTTTGTCTTGTGTAACTTAGACTTTGGCCAATCATCCTCACATTCCCACTTCCCCATGAGAGAACAGATTTGGCGTCCAGGGCCTCGAAGCTGGAGGAATGACAGAAGGAAGCGCTTCTGCCTGCTGTATGATTATTGAAAATTTAAGCTTACTCAGAATTTATCACGTAGCTTAGAAGTATCAGAAAAGGCCCTCTTTAATGACTGGCTGGCCTGACTCTAACCTAAACTACTAAAATGTCAAACCACGTTGAGTTACAACTGTGCCCACTTCTCACTGACCCTAGAGTCTGCAGGCTCTCCACCAGACTTAATACACGCAGAATTCCTAACTTGTGGAGACCACATTCCAGTTGGAGGGGAGGAAAGAGACAATGAACATCTGTAAGTTTTCCAGTAGCTTAGCCGGTAACAAACACTATGAAGAATAAAAGGCAGTATAAGGAGGACTGAGATTATAGGCAGAGAAAAGCAGGGCTTTCAATATACACAGTGGACAGGGTAAGCCTCACCAGGGAGGTGAGACTTGAACAGTCTAGAAGGAGGTGACAGAACCAGGTATCTGAGGGAATAGCATTCTGTACAATGGGATAAATGACTGAAAAAGCCCAGAGGAAGGATACTTGTGGTCTTCAGGGAGCAGTTATTCAGCGAATGTGGCTAGAATACAGTCAGCAAGTGGTAAGGAGGGGAAAGAGGGCCGAGGAGAGAGAGATGGGTTGAAGTCCCTGCACCACCATTTACTAGTTTCATAATCACATGCCGTTGACTCGACGTGCAAGTGTCTCAGTGCCACTATTTGGGTTCTGCCTTGCAACCAGACCCATAGGCACAGCATGTGGACTGATGTCTATGCACTGAACCCGGTCTCTAGGGAGCCAGGAGTGCCATCGGCCAGTTCACCCACCTGCTATGCCCTCACTGTTTGGGCATGGGCTGGGTGCTTAGCCTGTCCCTCTCAGAACTCCAGCCCCTCTTGGCTTCTTGGCTCAGAGGCATCTCCTCATAGGGGCGGGTCTCACATCCCTACCTCCCTCCCCTCTAAGAGCAGTGAGGTCCTTGAAGCCATCCTGAAGCTCCTTCTGCAGGCCCAGGGGTGTCCTTTCTGTCAATGTTCAAGGCCTAAGTAACTACCAGTGTTTACTACATCTAGATACTCTGCATTGTGCAAACGTGAGCTCTGCTATTCACAGAGCTCTATGCTATAACTGTGATTGTACCCATTTTACAGAGAAGGAAATTGAGGCTCTGCAAGATTGAGTAAAAAGTTTGTCCTGAATGCTCCATGCCCCATTCCCCATGTGCACACTGTGTGGAACATGCTGGGCACTCAGTAGACATCTGAAGAAGGAATAGTACCTGGAGTGCTGGAATGTCAACCCTGAGCAGAGGGCACAGTAAGAAGAAGAGAGGTTTCTTGCAAGATATTTGGGAACATCAAAACAACATGGAAAGCAGTATGGAGGCTCCTCAGAATGCCCAAAATAGAAATACCATTTGACCCAGGAATTCCACTTCTAGGAATTTACCCTAAGAATGCAGTACTCCAGTTTGAAAAAGACAGATGCACCCCTATGTTTATCGCTGTACTATTTGCAATAGCCAAGAAATGGAAGCAACCTAAGTGTCCATCAGTAGATGAATGGATAAAGAAGAGGTGGTACATATACACAATGGAATATTACGCAGCCATAAGAAAGAAACAGATCCTACCATTCGCAACAACATGGATGGAGCTAGAGGGTATTATGCTCAATGAAATAAGCCAAGCGGAGAAGGACAAGTACCAAATGATTTCACTCATATGTGGAATATAAGAACAAAGGAAAACTGAAGGAACAAAATAGCAGAATCACAGAATCCAAGAATGGACTAACAGTTACCAAAGGGAAAGGGACTGGGGAGGACGGGAGGGAAGAGAGGGATAAGGGTGGGAAAAAAGAAAGGGGGCATTACAATTAGCATGTATAGTGCGTGGGGGGTACGGGGAGGGCTGCGCAACACAGAGAAGACAAGTAGTGATTTTACAGCATCTTGTTACACTGATGGACAGTGATTGTGAAGGGGTGTGTGGCAGGGACTTGGTGAAGGGGGGTGCCTAGTAAACATAATGTTCTTCATGTAATTGTAGGTTAATGATACCAAAATAAAAATAAATAATTAATAATTAAAAATAAATTAAATAAATTAAAAAAACAACATGTAAAGGGGGCAGACACCATAGTCTTATGAGCATAGAGCTGGAGGGTGTTTGGAAAAATGTACTGGTCACACAAGACAGAACCCAAAATCAACTACCTTAGGCCAAAAATAAAATGGGAAAATCTATTTGGCTGATAGAACAGGGCTGCTTGGGGAGCTGATCTCACGCATGGCTAGATCCACGGTCCGAAATGACTGAGGCTCTTGGGGCTCCTTCTGTCCCTTGGTCCACTGTTCTCTGCTCCTTGACTGTCCTACTTAGGCTCTATTCCTGCAGCAGAACGTAGTGGCTGACAGCCCCTCCGTCTCACCTTCCAGCCCCAGTGCCTGGTGGTGGCACACCTGTCCCATCAGTGCCACCTAGAATGCTCCAGGAGAAGCCTTCTGACTGGCACAGAGGGAGGCTGATGGTGTTTGGTCAGCACTGTGCCATGCAATGACCCTCGAACTAAGTAGACACTGACCTTTGCCCCTCCCACTCCATCCCCTAGGCCAGCTGCAACCACTTCTCCCCAGGGGCCCCTCTGTCTCTGTCTCTCTCTCTCACCCTGTCCCCATGCTTCCGGCCTCACCACCTCCCCATCTCATAAAATTGCCCACTGGTTCCTCATGGATCCACTCAGAAAAAACCCACTCTGACATCACCCAGGAAAGCCGTCCTTGATGGAAACCATGGCTGCTTGTGATAGCAGAAGCTGCAATTAGCAAAGTTTGAGATGACTAAAAACCTGATTTATGAAACAAATCTCCATCCTAAATGCAAAAGAATTGATCTCTAGGAAAATAATTTCAGCAAAACGGAAACATCGGAAATGGTTTAACTGTGCTGCATAGAAAATTGATACAGGGATGAAATTGGTTTAATGGGGTTCCCTGTGGAATTCTGGTACTTTCTAGATGAAACTCTTCACTGTTGACTAATTCTGATTAAAACGCTAGCATTCAAAATGCCTTTAGGGTCAAAATGTCCCAACGCCCGACCAAGGGGTCAGGTTTTGTCAGCAGCCCCAACAGAAATATGGAAAAGGAAAAAGCAGAGTCCCTGAAGGCAGAATGGCTGGGGTGGAGGGACAGGGGTAATGGTTCTAGAAAAACACCGTGGGCGGAGGGAGGCAGGGCAGACACAGCAAACACAGACTTCCCCCACGCCCCTGCTGAGGCTGCACGTCTGCTGGTTCCGTAGGCTGCCCAGCCAGGCGTGCAGGCTCAGGTCCCTGCGGGGCTACAGGCTGGGTCTGCGCTCCACCCACCATGTGGGGCCAGAGGCCCCCACAGAAGCTCTGCCAGCCTCCAGGGCCTCTGTGCATCCAAACAGAATCAGAAAGCAAAAGTCTCATCAAATGCTGTACTTCTAAATGGCATTTATGTTTGTTTGTTTGTTTTGTCTTTCTGACCACAAATCCAGTGCAGCAAAAGGCAGAACTTCTGGAAAACACAGAAAAGTAAGGGGAAACTGCAGCCCCACCTCCACCACCAAGGACACCAGGTGCTGTTGGGATGAGGCGCCCGCGCTGAGAGGGGCCAGCCGAGCGAGCCTGAGGGCCAGGCCGTGCCAGGTCAGCCTGCCCCGCGGGAGGGGCTCCCTGCCAGTGCCCTGGGTCCCTGCCGTGCCACGTGGCCCTAGAGCCGCTGAGAGCAGAGCTGTGCAAACAGCTGAGGTCGCCTCCTAACTCTTCTCCGTCGCCACTGATGAGTCTCATGGGGTGGCTCTGAGGTAAATAGGTGATTTTCAGGCCTTTGCAACTGTCACCCCAACAAGCACTATATTCAGTAAGGACTCTTGTTATTCCCGTTTTAGGGATGAAGGAAATAAGGCCAGAGAAGTTAAGTTACTTGACCAAAATGTCATAGCTGGGAAGTAACAGAACGGGGACTCACACCCATTTGTCAACCCTGAGCAGTGGGGGCATCCTTGGGAAGAGAAGACCGTGGAGCTCTTTTAACCACATGGTTATATACTGAGAGACAGTGGGAGGGGAGGGGAGAGGAGGGGAAGAGAAAGGATGAAAATACAAAGGCTCCATGGGTCACTGGTTAGTGCCCACTGGCAGGGCCGTGAGGAGAGGCAGGCGCCCAGTGCATGCACACACTGCCAGGGCTTCCGTGAGGCACCCTGGGCTCCTGGCCAGACCCACCAGTACCCAACCCCTCAGCTTCCCGGTGCCCCTCAGACACTTGTCTTCTCAAATCAGGAAGCCGTGCTCCACTGCCTGTAGGAAGCAAAACAAAAACAGCTGCTGTGTTTGAAAGGGGATTTTTATAGAACACTCTCTGGTGTGCTTCAGGAATTCAGCCCCAAAGACCCAAGTGATGTGGTTTCTGGGAGTTAACGCACATCCTAGGGGCATGTTTACTTCCTCCCCTCCAACAACTTCTCAGACCCCCAAATCATCTGTTTGAGCCCATTTCCACCAGCCTCTCTTAGCCTCTGTCTCCTGGCAGGAGATCTGGGGACTC